AGGAGGAGGAAGAGGAGGAAGAGGAGGAGGAGAAGGAGGAGAAGAAGGAGGAGAAGGAGGAGGAGAAGGAGGAGGAGAAGAAAGAGAGAGAGAGAGATGGGAGTCACTTTGGTGTGCTGCCGCTGGGCCATGAGCAAGGTATCGGGTATCTCACAGGCTTCCTGAGGCCACTGTGGCCTTTTAGCACTGAAGTACTCACAACTCCTGGAATTGCTTGGTCCCAGGGAAACAAACGCCCGCCTCACACAGAGATGACAAACTGAATTAATACTTATAGCTGACTTAGAGGACAGATGACCCTCCCACCATGATATACCTGGACTGCACAAGCCTTTCCTCCCTAATCCTCCTGCATCTGGTGAAGCGGATTCCCTGTGGGCACCTGAAACCTCGGTGGGAGGTGGCACCTCTGAGGTTTGAATGCTGGTTCTCCCTATGGTTGTGTTAGCAGAGAGGTCTCTGGGAGGTGACAGGGTCACAGGGGCAGAGTCTGAATGAATGAAATCAGAGCCCTTATGCAAGAGACCTCAGAGAGCTTCCTGTCCCTCCCACCATGTGAGCATGCAGTAAGAAGTTACTGTCTTTGAACCAGGCAGCGGGGCCGCGCCAGAGATGGACCCTGCTGGTGTGGTGAATTTGGAATCCAGGCTCCAGAGCTGCAGACAATGTGTGTCTGCTGTTTGGGAGCCTCCCAGCCTTTGGATCTTGTTACGGCAGCACAGCTGAGGCAGTTGCCAAGTCACCAATAGAGGAGACCTAGCCTGGGCTCCACGGGCTCAAGGTCTTGAGTTTTCAGCCTGGATCTGCCTTCTACCTGCTGTGCCTGCTGCGTATGGCCCTGGCTCTGGACAGGGTTATAAGGACAGCTCTGGTCCGGGACTAGCAGGCAGGGCCAGCGGATAGGAAGGGTTAACTCACTTGCCTTGTTCTTCAAGAACAAGCAGGCAGGCACTTCCCCCTTCTGGGGTCTGGTAGCCTTTACCTGTCCTCATCGTGGGGTTTCAGGCTGGATTTGGTGATTTTCTATCCACTGAGCAGCAGAATCTGGCTGCAAAACTGACTTCATTTCTTGCGCACAGAGTCAAAGGCAGTTTCCTTAAAACCAAGAAACGACACATTGCCCAGACCTGGCCGTTATCCCTGAGTCAGGGTTGTACTCGGGCTGGAGTTAGGGGAAGCAGCCCTTCTGGACTGAGTGGCATTTGAGTGATAATTAAGTCACAGTGGATCGACCTGTCAATTAAAACCAAAGAGCTTGTGTTATCATATGCAGCTGTCTGCTACCTGTTGAGAATGTAGATTTTATTAATGGCAATGATGAAGAGAGAATAGAAAAATAAGAGTTCTCCTACTGGGGATCCGGGCTAGGCTTCTGCTTTGGGTGGAACCTAGGGAATCAGACCAAATCCTGGCAAGGAAGTAAAAGTGACAATTTAAATGGAATGTTGTATAGCATTTTTGTTTCACTCTGTGGCTTCCAAACTTGAGAACCCCCGAGTGCAACAAAGGAAGGCTTGGCAATAAAGCTGGAAGTGCCTTTCGGTGCTTTAAACATCTTGGTAAGAAGTGAAAATTAGAATATCCCTTTATTAGGCCAAATTGTGCAGGACCCTGTGATATGCGTGGTGTCACTTGTAAGATCCGGTTACTACGTAACTTTTCCCAGGCATCAATGTGCCCATCACCTTTCAGGCTGGGGCTGCCTCTGAGTTAAGCTGTTCATCATCCATGCTAGAGGAGCTGCTTCTGCCCACACGTCGCTGTGGTGGGCTCCGAGGGAGCCCTTTCTGGGCTCCCACATGGCCCAATTAGAAGGTTTCATGGACATTCTGGTTCTGAGTACGCTGAGCTCCTCCTTGGCTGGGAGTGGAAGAGGCTTGTTTGATGCCTGTAGTGACGGACGGTCTGTATCCAGCAGTCTCCTCGCAGCCTCAATGAATCACTGCATGTAATTCCTCAGGAATAATAACACTTGGGAGAATGGGGCGGCTCCAGGAAGCGGGTCGAGAGACCTCATAAACATCAGCCTGAGAGGGAGGGGTGCTCAGCTTACCCAGCACAGATGAAGGCAGGCTGAAGACTGCAGGCAAACAACTCCCTCTGCCACGATGGATGTGTGGGTGCATTTGGTTTGTCGAGTACTGGTTCCTAATAAACAAAGACTGGGCTTTAAGTGAGAGCTCACATACAGCATCCAGTTAGGCCAGGATTGCTCTTATGTATACCCGGCTGCCTTCTGGCAGAGAATAGGGGTATTTCATAGAGGTGTGTGTGATAGAGCAAGATACAATACACTTAGCACCCAAAGTGGGTTGGCAGGGAGGTGAGCCCAGGGCCAGGGCCCATGGGGTGGGTCTTAGGGTTAGACACAGAGCCAGATTTAGGTTTACAGAAAATCAAGCCCAAGGAATGGAGAGTTCCAGCCTCTGCTTGCCCTGTTTTTAACACCTGGCAGCGCTGTGGTGCCTGTTACAGTAGTTGGCATCCATGGCTTACACACAGGTCACTGTTGGTGGTGTACACTGTGGGTTTGGACAGAAGCATCATGTCCTGTACCCACCATCAGCATCATGTGGGATATTATCACTGTCCTAAGTACGCTTTGTGCCCTGCCTGCTCTTCCCTCTGCTCCCCAGCTTCTGGCAACCACTGATCTGTCTCCATAGTTTACCTTTTCTAGAGTGACACAGAGTTGGAACCATGCATGCAGAGCCTTTTCACATTGGCTGCTTTCACTTAGTAATGTGCATTTATGTTTCTTTCATGTGTTTTCATGGCTCAATAGCTCCTTTTCAGGACAGAGTAATATTCTGTTATCTGCATCTACCGCAGTTTGTTCATCCACAGCAGGACAGTAGGGGTCTATGAAGTGTGGGGGAATTGTGAATAGAGCTCTCATTAGCATTAACATCCAGATTCCCATGCAGACATGATGTTTTCAACTCATGTGGGGAAACACGATTGCTGGTGTGTGTAGTAAGAGCGTGTGTTTTGTTGTCCTGGTGTCCTGACCCCTTCTGAAATGCAAATGCCTCTCACCTACAGCCTCACCTTGCTCAGCAGTGCATGGTAGGCCTATGAGGAAAATTAGGAGCAAACGGAAAGATGTATCATAGCAAATACTGATGTCTCCGCCACAGCCAGCGACAGGTCATCCACACTGGGCCCTCTTCACCTTGTCCCCACACAGAAGGACCTCACCCTTCCATATTCTGGCTTCTGCCCCTCCGGGGTCGCCCTGCATCTTGGTGATGTGGGAAGGACTCCATGCACCACATGGAAAGCCCACGACACTGACGTTTGTGTTTGTGCCCTGCAGCCCCTTACCTGGACACGTGCCTGTCAGCATCGTGAAACTGCAACAGGAAGTGCAGGCACCTGCCTTTCTGTCTCTAGTCAGAGCCCAGATCACCCCTCCTGTAATGGAGGTGCGCAGAGAGCAGGGGAGGCACCCTTGAGCTGTGCTGTGGAAGCACTGCCACTGTTTGACTTGCACGTGGCCCTGTGCGCCACTGCCACTGCCACAGGGCTGATGGAGCCACCCTGACCACCTGGTGGTTGGGGCCTATGGGTGGGTGGGGGCATCCATACCCTGCCAGTCCATTTTTTAAGTTCAGTTTTCGGCTTTTGAATGTGGCTCAGTGAGCTCAGCCTTCACAGCCTCCCTGATTGTTGTTGCTAATGTGAGTGTGTTTGGGACTCTCAGAGACTCCCCTGACCCTGGCCGCCCAGCTGGATGACTCCATGGAGGTCATCAAAGCCCTCCGAAATGGCGGGGCTCATCTGGACTTCCGCGCCAAGGACGGGATGACCGCCCTGCACAAAGCCGCCCGAACCAGGAACCAGGCTGCCCTGAAGGTGCGTCCAAGCCTGTCCTGTGTCAGACACTACCCTCCTTGGTCCCCTTGCATCTGTCCCCTGGGTCCCCGCCCACAAGGAATACTGTCCTCACTGGAACTTGGAACACTGGAGGGTTTTCTGCCCTCTCTTTTTGGTATTGCTGCTTCTAGAATTTACTGTCCACTAAGCCATCTTCTCCTTCTGCTTCAGTAAAGGGCTCATGTTGTGACCTGTAAGGCTGGTGCTGAAGCCTAGCTCTGTCCCTTGGAAGAGGCTGCAAGCCCAGCAGAGGGCGCTGCACCCACCTTGATGCGGGGCAAAGGCTGTGTACACCCAGCAGTGTCTTCTAGCCTTGGTGGTTCCTGCTCCTCCACCTTCCCCAGCTGTGTTTGAGAAGCACCCAGAGAGAACAGTGGACCCAAGGTCCATTCTTTATCCAAGCCCTGGTGAGGGAGGATGGGGTCACTGCTGCAGATTCTCCTCAACGTGGGGCTTCTCCCCAGACGTCTCAGCCTAGGCTGTGCCCTCTCCTGGCTTCTGCAGACCCTGTGTGCATTCCTGATGCTACTGCATAGGTCTGTGCCCTCGAGATACAGCACTGTCCTGGGTTACACATTGTAGCCTCGGTCCCCTACAAACCTGCCTGTCCTTGATTGCTCTCCATCACTGCCTGCCAGTACGTGGGCAGCTGGCCACGGGCAGGTCTGAGTGCCACAGCCCTGTCTGTCTCCATCTCTCACACAAGCTGGTCCTGCAGGCCTGAGCACCATCTCCATTTAGGACCTGCTTAATTCTGAGTTCGGGGGAAAAGCCACGGGAGCTCAAGGCCAGCGCAGCCTGCAGGAGACAGGGCACAGGCTGCTTTGATTGTTGCCCCCTGTGCAAAAGCCATTATGAGACCAATGACCACGACTTTGGATTTTCCTCCAGACCCTGTTAGAGCTTGGCGCCTCCCCGGATTACAAGGACAGCTACGGCCTCACACCACTGTATCACACAGCCATTGTGGGGGGCGACCCCTACTGCTGCGAGCTGCTGCTACACGAGCACGCCACCGTGTGCTGCAAGGACGAGAACGGCTGGCACGAGATCCACCAGGTGAGTCCGCACTTCCGGTAGCACCTGTGCGCCGCCCCACTCCCACCTCGGGGCCTCAGGCATGCATAGCAACCACAGGTTGGTTCCTGCCTTCAGTCATTTCATGTGACCATCCAGAGTTCCTAAAAAGTTTGGATCAATGGTTAGCATTCACACAGACTAGCAATATAATTCTGGCTTCTCTAAGAGAGGTTGGAAGAGGAGGTGAGCCTGCTGCCTTTCTGCACGGCCCAATCCCTTGCGCTGGAGTGGATGCCGCCCTCCTTACACTGAGCCATGAATTCTCCAGGCCCCACCAGCCTGATGCACATGACCCCCGGGCCTTCTGTGCGCAGGTGACCAGGGCACAGGGCTGCTTTCCATGCACAAATCTTGCGCTGTTCAGACAATATGGGATTCAGGGCATCAGCTGTGGTCTGCAAGGGTGGAGGACACCTGGGGGCCCAGTAAGAACTGTTTAATGGCCAGGAGCAGGTGTGGGCAGGACCAAGGTTGGAAGCGCACAAGTGGGCAGTGGTAAGGAGCTACCCGCCTACCATGGGGGCTGAAAGGCCTGGACGAGATTGTGTCCTGGAGCAGACAAGGCCAAACTGAGGAGCGGGGAGCCAGCCCAGTAGGCGCCCTGACACCAGGGTCATAGGACAGAGGCCCTGCCAGAATCTGCAGTCGGTGCAGGCACCACAGATGCCAGCCTGGAGGTCACAGCTTCTGGTTAGAGTGGCAAAGGGTCCTGGAGGGCAGAGGCCAATGCCTAGGACATTAAGGGCAAGGAGCTGAGATGTACGGAGGAGGCTGGGGGACTGGGCTTTGAATGATTCTTGTTCTCAGCCTGGAAACAGTGCCCATCACTGTCCCCAGGCTGCTTGCGCCTTGGTGATGCCACCACCACCACACATGCTTGCCTTGTCCTGGAGGCGGGTCATGTGTCACCCACTGCGGCCAGGCCCGAGGGTGGAGGGTCCCCATGTGCCCCGTGGCCCCTGGCCTTTCTCCTGTGGGCTCAGTTCTGGACCGCGGAGTCCCGAATCCCAGAGAAGGCCCTGCTCTTGTGGTGTGAGCAGGGGCCCTGAAGGGCTCAGGGCACTAAGTACACACTGAGCAGGGGGCCACAGAGCAGAGTGATCGGCTCTCGGAAGTGCCCTTCCCCATCCCAGCTGGACATCTCTTACCATTCTGGTGCTTTTCTAAGTGTGGCTGTAAGGTGTTCTGCAAGACGGGGTTAACGTTACATCAGCCAACTTCAGGGAAGGCAGATGACCCACTGTCCTGGGGGTGGGCCTTGTCTAGTCAGGTGAACGTCAGAAGAGCCAGGATCGAGGTCCCCAGAGTAGGAAGCAGTTCTGCCTGCAGACGCCTTCAGATTGGAGCTGCAGCACTGACTCCTCCCTGGGGCTTCAGCCACCCTGCGGATTCCAGACTTGCATTCCCCATAGTTGCACAAACTAATTATTTTAATATTTATTTTAAATTTAAATTCTTTTACATTCTCTGTTTGCACCCTCCCATATGTACTTCAGAGTCATCCTCTGCATCCTTTGGGGACTGGTTTTGGGACCCCCCGCCAATGGTACATAGATCCTCAGAATAGCATAGTGTTTGCATAGAACCTACACACATCTGTGTTCTTTGTACTTGAAATCATCTTTGGATGACTTATAACACCTAACACATATCAGTGCTGTGTAAATAGTTGTGATACTGGCTTGTTTATGAAAAGTCTCTGTGTCTATAAATCAGTACAGACTCATCTTTCAGCCCAGGTATTTTCCATTCATAATGACGGAGAGCCCACAGATACAGAGGGCTCAACACAAGCATGTGCACACGTGCACCCAGACACTCGCACACACACCCCCTGTTGGTTCTCTTTTCTGAAGACACAGCCAGAGTGGAGGAGGCGCATGAGCCCTGGGTTTAGGGTGTTGTTGGGGTCCAGGAGCTGCTCCTGCACTATGCCCTCTGTCCTGTCCCACCCAGGCCCTTCTTTTTAGCAAGATGTGTCTGTCCCATCCTCTCTGTGGGAGCATGTGGCCTTCTGCCCATGTTCCTTCTCCTCCCTTCTGGCCTGGGCGCTGTCCCTCAAATCTGTTGGAGCCCAGCCGTTCTGAGCCATCTGCAGCATTGACGGGGCGATGCCACCTCTTGCACGGGTGTCTCCTCACCCAGCCTCTGCCTATGAGGAGGGATCTGGGCCCCTCCTCCTACCTGCTTCATCTGCAGGCCTCTCGGCCACACTGCAGCCCTCCTCCCATCCGGTGCCCATGCAGCCATGGATGTCAGCGGCTGAGTGCCATGTTCTGACCACCCTGGTGCACCCACGAGCAGAAATGCCCTGATGTGTGTGCCTCATGTTCCCCCAGGAGAAAACAGACACAAGGCAAATGGATGTAAAGGAATTAGACATATAGGAGCACACACGCCCACAGCACTCACATGTCTACAAATGTGTGTACTCCACGTTTCCAAGTGGCGGTGCTTCTGGGCTCACATCATTCCCAGCAAGTATCTGTCCTGAGCCAGGGAGGGGTGACTGTGGCTCTGTGCCCTGTTCCTAGCTGGACTGGGTCATCATCTCCACAGTGTGCAGCAGCTGGACTTCCTCAGGGAGAATCTTCACCTTCTTGGTGTGCGGGGCCCTGAGGCCCTAAGGCTCTGAGGTGCCCCGTTTGGAAGGGAGCAGTACTGGGTTATCAGTGCAAGTGAGCTTTTTCTTCTTTCTTTTCTTGCCTTTCTTGTTTGTTTGTTTATTCATTGCATTACTGGGCATTGAACCCATGCCCTTCCTACCAAGCTACACACTCAGCCCCTTTATTTTTAATTTTGAGATAAGGTCTCCCTGAATTACTAGTTGCGCAGGTTGGGTTTGAACTTAGAATACGGTCTCATCCACCCCAAGTTCTAGGATTATAGGCCTAGTTCAGCGTCGTCTTCCCCTTGCTGGCTTGTCTGGTTTTCCTTTAAATCCCCAATGGTGTGGGCCTAGGTTGGTGAAGATGGTGCCCAAGAAAGGTGTGAGATAAAGCAGGGAGGTGTCTGCCTCTGGGCCATATCATGCACAATGCGATGCCCATGCCCTCTGAGTGCCCTGGGCCGTAGCTGGGCACAGAGTGTCCAGGAAGAGGTCTGTAGTCCTCAGCTCTCCGCTCGGCCAGAGGCAGCTCAGTGGGCACATTTTGGAAGAATTCCTTCGGGACACCTCATTCCCATATGCTGGGCACCCACCCCTGAGCCCACATCTCTAGACACAAGTTCTCTTCCTGTCCAGACACTCAGTTGTGGTGAGGGCAGTGCCCACCGTCAGAGACAGCTTGAGATTCACAGGTTCCAGCGGGAGGGAGGGTGCACCACGTGTGCAGGGCTTCATTGGAAACAGAAGGGAGTCGGGAGAGAGGTGGGGTTTTCTGAGAAGGGAAGGCCAAAAGTGTGAGCAGACTTGAATGGCTTCAGAGTTCTGGTTGCCTGTCTCCTGCCTGGAGGCAATGAGGGCCGATGGTGCAGAGAGTGGAAACCTGAAGGTGTGGGAGTGGGGCCTGCACGCTCAGGCCTGGGGATTTGCATCTGAAAGGCCAGCATCCTATTCTCCAGGCCTCAGCTAGCCCTGAGGTGGGGCTGAGGTGGAGGAGATCCTCCCCAGTGAGACCCCTGGGGCTAGAGTGCAAAGATCTCAGAAAAGGACAGCGAATCCCCAGGCTAAGCAGCTCTGGCTGTCTCTACCCTCAAGACCCCTCTGCCGGCCCCCAACCTGCCCTCCCACCCCCTTCCTCAACCTTCTCTTCTCCACCGGTGACGTCACACCCACAGGTCCAGTTTTCTTCATCCAGAGCGTGTGATGATGGCACGTCCGTGGGCTGCGGGGACCCTGGTGTCACTATGGGCCTGGCTCTTGGCATTTCTTGTCCCCACAGGTGTGGAGTTTCATCTCTGAGGTCCTGAGCTTGGATCCGCTTCTGGCCTC